ACAGTCGGCTTCCCGCCTTGGGCCAGCAAGCCCGAGCAGCCCTGCGGGCCGCGCTCCTCCGTGGCCCTCAGACCCAGGAGAGCCAGGGTGGGCCGAGGGGGGGAAGGGCTGGGGCCGAAAGGCCGCCAGCCCGGCTCTCTCGCCCTCTGGGCTGCCCCCAGCCCCATTCTGGGGGCCTTTACTCAAGGGTTCAGGCACCGCTGCTCCCACGGCTTTCGTGCGCTGGGGCCGGGCAGAGCCCCGTCCTGAGCGGCACCTGGGCCACGGGGCTCTGGAGGGTCCGTGGCTTTCAGAGTCTCGGCAGGATAGAGGAAGCAGCTCGGGGGCCTCCCTGGTAGCCCGATGCTCAGCCCTCCCGCCGCTCTCCGTGCAGGCTGTTCTCAACGCCCCCCAGGCCAGCCCCTGTCCTGACTGAAAGCCATGTCGCGTGTCCGTTGTGCACACTCGCCCTGTGCCCCCTCTGGTCCCCTGTGTAGCCTCGGAGGCCAGGCGGGCGTCTCCTCTGGGCAGCCGCACCTGATGCAGCAAGTCTCGTGCTCTTCAGAGAGCAGATGTGTGCTCAGGCTGCAGCCACCTCGGGGGCAGAGTGGCGGGCTCCATGGGCCGCCTGGCCAGGGCTGGCTGGGGCACACCCTGCAGGGGCCTCTGTCCTGCCCCGGGCTTCACTTGGCCACCCCCACAGCCCGTCCCACCATGAGAGTGAAGGCCATCCGCGAGTGTGGGTCTCTGGCCCCAGGCCGCAGACCCAGGGTCTTCTGCAGCTCAGGAGACGCTCAGGTGTGCCGGCCCAGGGCCCCCCCCCCGGGGGGGTGCACCACACTCAGGAGGTGAGTTCAAGGTGATTTAGCGGCTCTGTCAAAGGGAGGTCGAGGTCGACACAGGGGGCCTCTGCTGTGACGCGTTTCCCGGGGGTGGGTGTGCTCCTGGAAGACCGGACGTGTTCGGGGAGCGCTGGGTCTTGTATAAGCCGCAAGAGGCGCTGTGGCCGCCTGTCAGGAGGTGGGCACCCGGCCGGTGGCCTGGCTCAGACAGTCCTTTCTCGCCATGGGCATACTGAGTGCACGGGCCCGGGCGGAGGATGTGTTTTGTACATAATGGAGTATGTTTTAACTTATGCCCGCCGTCCCAGCTCACGTGGAAGCACAGGTCTTGTCTCGGTCTCTCGCTGCGTTTGGAAAGCAGTCTTGCCTCAGGCCAGTGCCGGGCCAAGGTGCCCAAGGACAGCGGCAGCTGGCAGTGCCCTTGCCTCCGAGGGTCTGCCCAGCGCTTCCCACTCAGGCCACCTGCTTGGGGGCCGCAGCTCCCTGCACCTGCAGCGTCTCCTAGACTGTGAGGACTCTGCCCTCCCAGAGCTGAGAGGACAGGGTGGACCCAGCACGTGCTTGGCCACCAGGACCCCCAGACCTGTGCACATGCCCACCTGGAGGGGGAGCCAGGGACAGCGGAACTGTCCGTGCAGCAAGTCTGTGACTTCGGGCGGGAGCTGTGTACTTCGCCCAGGAGCGTTTAAAGCTTTATTTATTTATAGCTTCCTTAAAAAGTGTCAGAAGAAAACTTTTGGTTATTCAATGCGTTGGTGATGGAAAAGCCAGTCATAATCATCTAATTGTTTTTGTCTAGGTCGAGAATGAATGTTAGCAGATGAAATAAACCCTGACAAGGAGTGGCTGCCGTGCTGTGGTCTGTGGGAGCGTGGCCGCCCCTCCCCCACAGGGCCCCACACACAAGTCCCTGCCCGGGGAGGCTCTCATGGTCTTCCCACAGGCACAGGGGCCCGTGAGGGCAGCGTGAAGCACGGCGTCATCATAAGAGCCGCCGCGCCTCGTGGTGGCGGTGCTTGGGAGCATCTTCCCAGTGGGCGACGAGGCTGATGCCACTGGCCACACCCTCGCTGACCTCTTTCCCCCCAACTTCGTTGAAAGTTTGGAAGGTTTCAGATGGCAAGGTGGAGCGACAGCCCACAGACACCCACAGGCTCCGGTCCTAAATTTGCACCTTCTTTTTTCTCATGCCCACATCCTCAGTCCCTTCACACACGTGCACACTCACACTTTCTTAAGATTTGGGGCGTCTGAGTTTTTAGCCAGAGTCTCACTCTGTCACCCAGGCGGAAGTGCAGTGACACAGTCGTGGCTCACCACAGCCTCGACCTCCTGGGCTCCGGTGATCCTCGCTCCCCAGCCTCCCGAGTACCTGGGACTTCAGGCGTGTGCCACCATGCCCAGCTGATTTTTTTTGGGGGGGGAGGTGCAGTCTCACTGTGTTGCCTAGGCTGCTCTTGAACGCCTGAGCTCCAGTGACCCTTCTGCCTCAGTTTCTCAAAGTGCTGGGGTTACAGTGCTGACCTCTTTGACGCACACGGGCTCTGAGAAGCCCTGCGTGTGCCAGTTCCGTGGGGGTCAGAGCCTGTCCCGTCTCTGGGACAGAAATGCCTGAGGTGCGGGCTCTGTGCCCTTGCCGGGGGCAGGCCCGGCTCCTCCCCACCAGCTGCCTCGGGGGAGGCGCCCGTCCAGAGTGAGGCCCCGCTGAAGTGGGCCTGCGCCCAGGACCCAGGAGGCCCCGGCTGGCCCGGCCCAGCCTCG